TGCAATGGCATGATATTGGCTCACTGCAACCTCCACCTCTCTGGCTCAAACAATTCTCCTGTCTCAGCCTCCTGAGTAGCTGGGATTACAGGCATGTGCCACCACGCCCAGCTAATTTTTGTACTTTTAGTAGAGACAGGGTTTCACCACGTTGGTCAGGCTGGTCTTGAACTCCTAACCTCAGGTGATCCACCTGCCTCAGCCTCCCAAAGTGCTGGGATTACAGGCGTGAGCCACTGTGTCCAGCCACTGGTACTTTCCAACCCCACCCGTCTTGTCTAGTTGGGTATAGGGGAGGCTTTGGGGGAAGGAGGCACCTGGTGAAGTTGATAAAATCTCTGGGCTAACTGGTTTTTCAGCTTGCTATAACTGGCAGCACTCAGGGCCCAGGGAGCCTCCCCACTCTCCAGCCTGGAAGCTCAAGCCTCAGGGTCCCAGCTGAGCCCTGGCTCCACCACTCTGCCTCCCACAGCACTGCCCAGCTGCTCAGGCCCTGTGGCAGCCAGAAATAGACATGAGGGAAGCAGAGTGAGCTCCTGGGCTCCAGGACCCTCCTGGGAGGGTGGCCACCAGCCTTAAGGGCCATCTACTCTTTGCCCCTTCTCAATCTGGCCTGATTGGGGGTCTGGACTCCTTGTTCCCCTCCATTAGCCACTGGAGCTCCTGCCCAGGAGGGCCAACCCTCCCAACTGAATCTCCCTGAGACCTAGGGCCTCAACATCCCCAGTCCAGCTCCTGCCAGCCCCATGCCTCCCAACTGAGAGATCCCTTTTCTATAGGGGCTCAGAGGGAGGGTCACATGTGGCAGAAGCCCCTACTGTCACTGTGACAACTCCTTTGCTTCTGGGAAGACTTGGCCCCATGAACGGGATAGATGGGGAAGTGGGGGGACCTGCAGGACATTCCTGCAATCTCGAGTCCTTTCTATTTTAAGACCCCAAGCCATAGCCCGGGAATTAGCTGGGCTCCCCTGAGGCTGTCCAGCCTTCCAGCTCCTCTGCAGCATGTCACTTCCATGGCCCATGGCCGCCCACAGCTCCCCTGGGCAGGATCGAGTTTCCCAACAGCAGGTCCAGGAGCCCTTCCTCCCTCAGCGCTCACCCACACGCCAGCAAGAGAGCTGAGCCTTGTGAATAATTCACGGAGATTCACATCAGGCCCCAGAGGCTCTCGAGAGCATGAAGCTGGGCCTCCTGGGTCCCCTGATTGGGGCCTGTGGCCTGGGGCAGCTCAAGCCTCTGCTCTCCCCAGCTCCCAGCCCACATATTCACAGCCTCAGGGAGTAGGAATCCCTACCCCCGAGGTAGGAGGCTAACTGGGTACACCATCCCCCAACCCCAATTCCCAGCCGCCCCTCCTGCTGGAGCCCAGCCTGGCAACCACACAAAGACACCTTCTTATCAGCTGAGTCACACGCCGCTGTGGGGAACGGAGCCCAAGCCCTCTGTCCACCTTCCTGAGATTCATGGTCACTCCTGCGGGGCTGGCAGCTCATCAGTCCAGGCCATCTGGCCACTGAATCGCCACCAGTGCCCAATCACACCCAGCACCTGTCATGGCCTGGGAGGGGGCCAGGGTCCCCCAGGCACGGAGACCTGGAGGGCGTCCCACAGCACAGCCCGCAGGGGGATCATTGTGTATCCTAGACCTGCCTTCTCAGTGAGGAAGGCCCGGGGTGGCGGCCCCACCAGCACTTGCAGAAGTGGGGCTCAGCATCTTCCAGTTCACACTTGGGCCATATCGGTCCTGCTCTCAGGGGGATACCTGTCCCTCTCAAGACCTGTCCCTCTCCTCTGCTTGAAGTGAGGGAGTGGGACAGATGCATCAGAATCACCACTGTGAGGATGGGGACATGTCCCACATGTGGCTCCCAGGCCCCAACCTGGAGAGTCTAACTCAGGAATCTGGGACAGCCTCCAAGAGGTGCTGCCAGGAGCCAGTTGGGACCCTCTACTCAGGGGTCCCTGGGGTTCTCCTACTCTAAATCCCGCTGACTTTGACATGATCCAAACTCTAGTTTGTTTGGAAGCAGTGAATTCATACCAAAGCGGCCACCAAGCAGGCCTGGCAGGGCTGGCTGTGCTGTGAAGAGCCCCCTCCCCAGGGTAGCACCTGCTGGGTCTTCCACTAACCAAACCAGGGAGCCCCTTCTTAGGGAGAGGCCAGGCCCAGCTTCCTTGTCCTGGGCCGAGGGGACAACTGGAGCCCGGCCTGGTGGGTCCTAGGGCCACCCTACATCCATGCCAGTGTGCCTGGGCCCAAAAGGCTGCAGGTGTGGCCACCTTGCCACATGGCCATATGGCCAGAACTGGCCTCCAGCCTGCTCCCTGGTGGCCAGGGGCCCTGCAGGCACACCCAGGAACCAACCAGTGGTGGGGACAGGCCAGATCCTCTTACCTCGTAGCTGCTCTCATTCTGAGGCTGGGTCCACATTCACGTTTATATCCCAGGCTCCCACTTAGACTAACAAGGGTCACTGGTCAGAGCTCCCCACTCCCCACTCAGGCTGCTGTGGCATCTGGCACCCCACCCTCTCAGGGCCTGGGTGGCTTTCCCCGGATCCCTGCCTCCCCAGATGCATCTAAGACCTGAGTCCCTCCCTCCCTCCCCTAGACTGACACATGCCCCCTGTTCTGTATGAGCCCCCACCCCACCCAGGGGAGCTCCCAGCCCACACCCCAGGAGGTTTGGGAGCCCCATGCTTCCCTTGGTAGTGGGAATGGGCTGAGGGGCCGCAGGAGATGACAGGCTGCTCCCTGGATGGCCTCCAGCCAGGGGCTCTGGGGCCAGGAGGTGGGGTGGGGGTCTGGGAGGGGCAGTTCTCCCTTAACTGCTTGGTAACTGATGGGATTCCTCTTCCGCCTGTTTGACTAGTGTCTAGGAGGCGCTCCTGTCCTTGCTGTCCCCCACTGCATTCTGAACAGTCTTGCAAATGAGCACAGCCTGAGCCAGAGAGAGCTCCTGCTACCGAAGCAGCCTGAGGGGAACAGGTGACCTTGGCTTGTGTGCCCAGCCTCCCAAGTCCAGCTGCATGCAGCTGGCCGGCTGAGAATGCAGGTGGCACCTGCTTGCAGGGCTCTGGGGGCAGCCCCAGAAGGGGTTTTCCAGGAGGGGAGAAATTTCATGATGAGTGGGAGCCGTCTCTCTGGCCTGGCCCTCTGGCCCCAGGATGGCCGCTGGAGGGATCACTGCCCTGGAGTGCCAGAGAGGCATGGTAGATCCCAGGCATCCCCCAAAGCCCTTCCCAGCCCACCCAGAGGACCCATTAAGAGGGATGATCTTACTCAGGGTAGTGCCCGATGAGAAGCCTCAGGGAGGGGAAGTCTCCTTTGGCGGCAGCGTAGTGGATAGGCAGGGCGCCCATGTCTGTGGCTGCGGTGGGGTCCCCACCGCCATGATGCAGCAGCCAGTTCACCACCTCAGGGTGGCCAAAGCGGGCAGCCAGATGCAAGACTGTGGCACCAGAATTGTCTTTGTCCTGTGGGAGGAGAGCCAGTTCAAGTCCTAAAGGCTGTTCCTGCCCTGCCCCTGGCTTGGGCCACTCCCAGACTCCTACAGGCCTTGGGGGTAGCTCTGTGCTCTCTGCCTTTCCTGGAGAGATTGGCCAGGCCTCACTCAGCAATGTTTTTTTGGGTCAAGCGGATCCTAGGTTTGAATCCTGCTGCTGTCTTGGGGCAACGAACTGGCCCTCTCTGAGCCACAGCCAAAAGGCAGCATCGCCGTGCCTGGCTTTCAGAGGCCGGCAGGTCCTGACTGTGGGCTGCCTATGTGAGAGGCACTGGGTTGTCATGGCAGGACACTGGCTCCAGGCTGAGGGCCACAGCCCTGACACCCAGGGGCTCAGGGCATGGCTGAAGGAGTGACAGAGGGTTGTTGGGCTGAGCAGGGCCAGGAAGGGGGCTGTGGTGCCACACCAAGCTAGCATTGGGACTGGGGGCAACCCCTGCTTCCAACACTTGCCCCCCTCTCTCCACCTTCCTAGGTGTCACATGGGAACAGAAGCCTCCACCCTGATGCGCCTCCAGCAACCCAACCTCAGTGCAGAAAACTGCCCCCCTCCCCTGGCAGACTTGCCAGCGCCCACGCACAGGAGCAGCCTGTGTTCTTGCCCCTGTGGAGGTGGAAGTTGCTGGGCGCTGGTGGGCGGGTCCAGGGCAGTCAGCCAGGGGTGCTAGGTGCAGGCTAGTGGTGGCCTCTGGGAAGGCTTGGATAAAACTTCCCCCAGGGACCTCAGAGTGGGTGGGGCCAGAGGTCTGGGCCCAGAACTGCTGAATGTGTCATCTGTGCACACTCCATGTGTGTATCTGCTGAGAAAGGGGCTGGAGGGGAGTGCTTATGGGACCTGGGCCGGGAGGAGAATCACGGAGGACCCAGACTTCTAGACACAGAGGCTGCTGCACTTGGCCGAGTGGGCACTAGTTCTGGAACGGAACGACCTCCCAGCGCCACGCACATGGACAACAGAGGGGTGGGCAGGGTTGCGGTAGAAGGAGGCAGTGGGCACACTTCACTAGGGTCAGGGAGTGAAGCCTCTCTGCCCTGCCGTGCCCAGAGAGAGGGCACTGTGGTCACAGAGTATCAGAGACAGCAGGAGCTGGCAAGAGACCCCAGGCCTCAGGAAGCTGAATCACATGGGAAGAGAAACTCTGAGGCTCCTGTGAGACATGCAAGGAAACAGGGCACGGAGGGAGCTGAGGCCCTGGGCCACTGACAGGGACATCAGGCAGCCTGCAGGGCAGGGCAACAGCCTGGTGATCCTGCTCAGGAGGCAGGGAGGAAGACAGGGCAGAGAATGTGATGGCCCATAGGAAGCTGAGGACACTGATGCCCCTCCTGTGTGCTAGAAAGCCGGTGGTGAGGGGACCAGAGACTGGTTCCCAGTTCTGATCTTGGGCTCTGAGGCCAAAGGTCGGAGCTCACTAGAGGGGACCCAGGCAGAACCATGGTGAAATGTGACCTGAGCCCCAGCTCTTCAGAAAGGCACTCCCTTTCTACTGGCCTTGGGGACTGAGGGTCTGAGGCTCCAAGGGTCTCACTGGCTCTGGGCCCCTCAGTGGTGGAAACGGTAAGGAGAGGGCCATAGGCCTCTGGGCTCTGGCCTGTCCCTGAGGCAGCAACAGCTGTCCAGGCCCCAGCAGCCTCATGTGCAGTGGACCACACCCTAAAGCAGCTTATCTCTCTGGGCTGGGGAAGCCCAAGGATCCAGGTCATCCCTCCCACCCCTTCCTCCCCCAGCACCCAAGCCTGCCTGGCCCAGAGGGCAGGAGACTTGATAAGCTGGGGCCAAGGCCACCTGCTTTGCCCAGCTCCTCTGCTCTGGCAAGGGAGGCTTCCGGCCAGGCCTGGACACCGGATAAGGCAGGCATGACACCTCCCAAAAGAGTGGGCATGGGCCACGTAGCCAGGAAGCCCTGAAAACAGGTCCCATGGAGAGATATGGGGCGGGCCATCTCCCAGGAAGGGTAGGGGGCCTTCTATCTGAGGGCAGAAGGTGGGCTGGCCTGGCCATTGTCGGGCCATAGCAAGCCTGCCTCCTCCCCTTCCATCTCCAGGGAGCCCAGTGGTCTAAGTGGAAAATCAGCTCCGGTTCCTCCCTCCCATGGCTGTCCCCACAAGCAGAATTTCATCCAAATCCCTAACCTTGGCCTAGGAGACCCTCTGGCCTGGCCCTGGCAGCTTCTCCCCTCCTCACCCACTCAATACTCGGCCTCCTGCTGGCCCTCTGACAGGACAGGAGTGTGCGCGCCTCAGGGCTCTGCACTTCTCGTTCCCTGTGCTTGGAACTCTCTGACCCTCGCCTGGCTACCTGCTTCTCAGCAGCCAGGATGCCCCTGGGAGATCACTGCTCAGAGGGACCAAGTGGGGTCTGGGGACAGCAAGAATCAGCCTGGGCTGGAGAAGCACCTGACAGCTGGGAGCCTTGACAGCACGGATGTCCTGGGGCCAGCCTGGGTTATGCGGAGACCCCCATTTACTACCGCCCATCATCATTCCCCCACACACTGGCTGGGGACACCTGCAGCTCAGCCTGGGCTGTGGGACTTTGCCCAGCCTCCTTTCAGACCCGGCCCTGGAGGACATGGGCTTCTGACTCTGCCGCCCAGGCCTCACGTCCCCACCCACTTCCAGGACTTCAGATCAGTGCCTTCCCTCTCCTGGTAACCACTAGTAACTACCCGCCCCACGGAGGCGGCACCCTTCTGGCTCCCATCACCCAGGTGTGCTTCCAGGGAGCCCCCAGGCTCGCCAGGGCATCTGCCCGAGTACTTGCAAGCTAGGGAGCCCACTCACCTGAGGGCCTCTGGAAGGAGCTCCGTGAAGGGCTCAGCTGGGCCAGGAGGTGCCAAACCCCACCCATCCTTGAGCCCCGGCGTGGGGGCTCTGGGCCAGGACTGTCTCCTGAGGAGGAAACCACAGGACCCCCGGCGAACGGCGCGGACCCACCTGCACTCTGCAGCCTCCCTGAGACAGCAGCCACTGCAAGCAGGCGAGGTGGCCGGTGGCGGCGGCGTCGTGGGCCGGGGTGGCGCCGTTGCGGGCGCGGGCCGCGGCGGGGAGGGCGGCCTCCTCCACCAGGAAGCGCAGACAGTGCAGCTTCCCGGCGCGGGCCGCGTGGTGCACGGGCAGCGCGTCCAGCGGGTCGCGCAGCGAGGGCCCCAGCAGGCCGGCGGCGTGTAGCGACCGCAGCACGTCCAGCTCGCCCTGCCGCGCCGCCTGCAGCGCCTGTTCCAGGGCCATGGTGCCGCCTGCGGCGCCGCGACCCCGCACTCAGAGCCTCCCCCAGGAAGCCATGCGCGTGTCCTCGCGGACGGGAGGAGTCCGCGGTGCGGCCGTCGGGGCTCTGCGCGCCGGGAGGCGGGGCGGCTGCGGGCCCGGCCTCTGCTCGGGACTGCCTGGCGCTTCGCTCCGCTCCGCCGCGCTCTGGGGCCGGAGCCGGACGACGTCGGCTTAAGCCTCGGGCCCGCCCCCGCCCTGCCGCGCCCCGCCCCGCAGCCTCAGCCAGAGTTCCCCGCCCTCCCCCGCCGCTCCGCGGGGGCACTCGGGCGACGGGGGCACTCGGGCGACGGGGGCACTCGGGCGACGGGGGCACTCGGGCGACGGGGGCACTCGGGCGACTGGGGCAGGGCGCCCAGGGGCTTCTCTCCTAATTTGTCTCACGTAACAGTTGAGACCCCAGAGGGCAGCAGAACTGGGTTCAAATTGGAGAGCCGTCCAGGCACAAATTCATTCACCTGCCCAGTGTCCGCTCACTGCGGTTCCAGGCGCTGGCGACGCAATTCCAGAGGTGACTGGGGAGTGACCATCGGAGCCACGTGGGCGGTCAGGGAAAGGTCTCTGTGGAGGTGCGGTGGGGCTGGGTGTGGAGCGCGAGGCCCTGAGGCAGGAGCAGGCCTACCGCGTCCCTGAGGGGCTTTGGGTCTAAATCTCTGGAGAGTGCAAAGGGCCCCAGAGCTTCCAGCGGGGAGGGCAGGACAGGAACCCCTGGTGCGTTGGGAACTCCGTCTAGACGCCGCGGCCTGAGGCCGCCCACAGCCGCTGTCAGGATGGAGGGACTTCCAGGCACACAGAAGGCAGGGATTGGGGGGTGGGGGTAGGGCTTGTGTGGACACGCGGGATCGCGGGCATCCAGAGAGAGGGGACGAAGACCCCTGCAGGGGCGCAGGAAAGCGCCAGAGGGCGCAGGCTGGAGAGCGAATATGTGCCAAGCCACCCTGCGGGCACCACCGAACACAAGCCGTGGGAGCGGCTAGTGCCGGAAGGATGGGAGGAAAAGCTTCCAGAAGGTGGAGGCTAAGTAGCTGTGGGAGTGCAGGCTGCCTGTCAGCGACCTTGAAGCACCCTTCCTGTGCTCTTCCTGTCCCAACACCCACCCTTCTGAGTCCCGTGGGGGCGTGGCCCCACCCCGCCTGAAGGTTTCACTCGGCACCAACCCGGGTCTGGCACAGTCAGCGCTGAGATGTAGAATGAAGGAAGCCCCTTCCAGGGACAGTGGGAGTCATAGTGCTAAACTCGGAGGTGCCTCCGGTCCCTTCCCTGGGACTGCCACCTAGTGGCAACCTGGGTGGTGGCCTCCCATCCTCCCAGGTGCCCGGGTAACTGGAGCTGCTGGGCCGTGCCTAGCCAGGTGGGTTTCCAATGACTTCCATCCGGCCAGATCACCCTCATTCTCTCCATGGGACCTGTGGCCACTGGGATCTGGGACCCTTGCCCAGCGGTTTGCAGACAAAAGGAGGGAGGAGTCTTTTCCTGGCAGTCTCACTGCTGGAGCTGGTGGTGGCCAGAGCAACAGGTTCACTGAGGCTGGCGCTGCCCTCCTCCAGGTGTCCAGAGGCACGTGTACCATGAGGCCAGCAAGTAGCAGGGGTACTGTCAGAAGGAGGTGCTAAAATGGCTTGTCTTGGGCACCCCTTCCCTGTGCCTCCTCCATTCTAAAAGGCCCTGCAATTCGTGTCCTCCACGCCTAAGGTGGCCACCTTGGCCGTGGATACGCTCATCCAGCACATGGTTTTGTGATTCTGTGGGCCAGGTCCAGGTGATTCTCTAATGCCCTTCCAGTGGGCTGGGCAGATGCCCCTGAGCCACTGCCATTGTTGCTATTGACATCTCCATTAGTGCCATGTGTGAGCACCCACCCCTGATGGCCAACCTCTTCAACTCCTTTCAGGACATGGCTCAAACTCAGGCTTCAAGCCAGGCCTTTCCTGCCAGGCTTCTATCCTTTCTGGGCTCTCCCACATCCATCGGGCTATCTGGGTCCTCCCCAGCAGCTCTAGGGAGCTCACACCAGCAGTCACACTTTTATGAAATCTGTACCACCCACCAAACGCTCACCATGCTTCACCTGGATATCCAATCCAGAGGTGCTATGGGAGAGGTACACCTGTTGTTCTCAGTTTACAGCTGGGGAAAATGAGGCATGGGGAGGGTTTTTTTATTTTTTTGAGATGGAGTTTCCCTCTTGTTGCCCAGCCTGGATTGCAATGGCACAATCTCAGCTCAGGGCAAACTTTGCCTCCCAGGTTCCAGCAATTCTCCTGCCTCAACCTCCCGAGTAGCTGAGATTACAGGTGCCTGCCACCATGCCTGGCTAATTTTTGTGTTTTTGTGTGTGTGTGTGTATTTTTAGTAGAGATGGGGTTTCATCATGTTGGCCAGGCTAGACTTGAACTCCTGACCTCGTGATCTGCCCACCTCAGCCTCCCAAAGTGTTGAGATTACAGGCATAAGCCACCAAACACAACTTTGTTTTTTTGAGACAGAGTCTCACTCTGTCACCAGGCTGGAGTGCAGTGGCGTGATCTTGGCTACAGGTTCATGCCACCACGCCCAGCTGATTTTTGTATTTTTAGTAGAGACAGGTTTTCACCATGTTGACCAGGATAGTCTCGATCTCTTGACCTCATGATCCGCGGGCCTTGGCATTCCATAGTGTTGGGATTACAGCCATGAGTCACCATATTCGGCCTTGTTTTGTTTTTAAAGCATTTTGTGGCTGGCTTGTGGGTGCAGAACTGAGTGAGCCAGGCTAGGTGCCTTGGGCTGAGGATGGGAGGGAAAAGGTCCACAGAGTCTTTTGAGCCCTTAAAGAACAAGTCATTGTCTTGGGGGAGGCCAGTGGAGGCAAACTGGCCTCAACCATGGAGGACAAGGTCTCAGGTTCCTCCAGTCCCTGCTGGGCCAAATATGTTGAATGAGTTATTCTCACTTGTTAGAACTTTTATGAGGGTTAATGCAGATGCGAGCCTTAAAGTGTTAGGCCCTGAACTTGGCACACAGTAAGTGTCCATGAATGGTGGCCTAAGCTCCTTCTCATACCACAGACAGCTATGGGTGACCCGGGCTCCCCTGGCCCAGGCTTCTCCGGGCCCCTTAGTGTGTACCTTGGTTTTCTTCTGCCCTGCTGGGAGAACCCTGAGGGAGGGGGACCTGGGACCAGCTACAGGGGTGGAGCTCGGAAGTGGGGTTCGGGGGTTCATCCAGCACCCTGGACAGAGCCCGTCTTGACTCCGCCCCATGGGGCCTCCTCTGGGCTGGCTCGGTGGATCTGGCCAGTCATCACTCTGCCCAGCAGTTCGCAGTGTGGTCCGCGGTCGTGGCCGTTGCCCCGCCAGCCCCTCGGGAGAGGGGAGCCCAGAGCAGATGGGCGGGGGACGCCAGCCAGTTTGCCTCAGCAACGGCCACGCGGCGCGGAGGCGGTCCTGGGCGGGCCGCTGGGGCCCCCCCACCAGGCGGGCAGCTGGGGGCCCGCACCCACGACTGCCCGGCCCGCGCGTCATGTGAGCCCTGACTGTCCTGCGGGCGAGAACCAGGATCCCCAGCCGGTGGGAATGAAAACGGGCTCCGAGGGCACCCGGGCTGCCTCTGCTTCTGTGGGATTCCGTTTCCCCACCCAAAGCCTGGAGTGGGGTAACCAGATGACACCTCGGCAAGCCGCTGGAGGATTCCACAGGATCCTTAGAGCCGGGCGTCTAGCGACTGGTGCCCTTGTCCTGGCTCGGCCGGTTCCCAGCGTCAAGGGCTGGAGCAAGTCACAACTTCTCTCCGGACCTCGGATTCCCAGTCCAGCTCAGCCCTTCCGCCGATAGAGCAGCTGTGGGTGGGAGTCCCTCCTGCTACTGTCCTTCGTGGGAGCTCCCGGAACCGCGGGCCTTGGCAGTCCTGCAGCCGCTGGGTCCCCTGCCCCGGCCCAGGGCGGGGCTCAGAGGAGACGCTGAACCGAGTCTGGGGAATGAATGAGGAGCTGTATTGGAGAGGAGGGACTGCAGCTCGAGCCAGGCAAAGCCTGGCCCCACCTGGCCCTCTTGCCCTCGGGGTCACGCAGTGACCGCCCCCGATGACGCCCTCGCCACTTCCCCGCAGGTGCTCGGGGACAGCCGGGGGCCGCCACCCCGCTGTAGATGGGACGCGAAGGACTGGAGCGGGATCCTCGGGGGCGTCGCTGTCTCCCCTCCCGGCTCCACCCCGCGCAGGAACAAAGGCGAGGGGTGGGACCGGCGGGCGGCGGGACTCCATGGGGCGGGTCTGGGCGGGCGAGCCGCTCCCTTAAAGTTCCGCTGCTGGCGCGGCGCGCACTCTTCTGGCACCAGCTCGTGCCGCGCTCGGGACCTCCTTCCGGATCTCGGTTTCCCTTTGCGTGGGGCTCGCAGCTGCCGCCGCTTTCCCGCGGAGCATGGGGCTGCCTCGCCGGGCAGGGGACGCGGCGGAGCTGCGCAAGGTGGGAACCCGGGACTGGGGCAGGGCGGGGGACACGGGGGACCCGTCTAATCACCACGCCGCACGCCCGCAGAGCCTGAAGCCGCTGCTGGAGAAGCGCCGGCGCGCGCGCATCAACCAGAGCCTGAGCCAGCTCAAGGGGCTCATCCTGCCGCTGCTGGGCCGGGAGGTGAGCGCGCCCCGGCGGAGGGCAGCGGGCTGAGGGCGGAGGGTCCTGGGGCGCGGAGCCCGAGCAGGGGGACCGGGTGCTTCTGCGGGAGGAACCCGCTGGGGGTTTCCTCGCGGCGCCCGAGGCGGAGTCTGGGTGGGGTGGACGCGCCGAAGCGGACCCTCCGCAGGCCACGGCGCGCCCCGCACCCAGCTCCCAACGAGTGCGCGGTGCGCACTGCAGCTGGCCAGATGTCTGTCTTGGTGGTTCTCTGTCCCTCTCCCTCGTGGCCGGGCGCAGAACTCCAGCTACTCGAAGCTGGAGAAGGCGGACGTCCTGGAAATGACCGTGCGCTTCCTGCAGGAGCTGCCTGCGTCCTCATGGCCCATGGCAGCGCCCGGTGAGTGAGCCCCCCCCGCCCTGCCCCGAGCCCTGCACCCCGCGCCCCGCACCCGACGCCGCGCCTCACGCCGCTCTCCGCCCGCAGTGCCTTGCGACAGCTACCGCGAGGGCTACAGCGCCTGTGTGGCGCGCCTGGCCCACGTGCTGCCCGCCTGCCGCGTCCTGGAGCCCGCCGTGAGCGCGCGCCTGCTAGAACACCTGTGGCGGAGAGCTGCGGGCGCCACTCCCGATGGCGGGCGCGCTGGTGACTCCGGTGGCCCATCTGCGCCCACCCCAGCGTCCGCGTCTGCCCCACAGCCCGCATCCTTGCCCATGCCCTCGCCGCCCTCGCCTCCCTGTGGCTCTGGCCTCTGGCGGCCGTGGTAGCCCCTCGGCCAGTCCACAGACCCTGCCGACTGCTTGGGACCTGGGGCTGCTGTTCCCATCATGAAGGGTCAGCCAAGTATCCACACCCAGGCCGGAAGCCGGATGTTTCATGGGGACTTGCTGAGCGTTTGCCAGAAGGGGAGGATTCTCCCTCGAGTCCCCAGATCAGCAGCCTGTGCTAGAGACCAGAGCACCTGGGGCAAGAAGACAGAACCGATGTGGGGGTGGGGATGGGCACTAATTCCAACTGTGCCACACAAACCCATGATGACCTTGGCCCTGGTTTAGGTGGCAGGATATGGAGGAAGCTATGGGCATTATTGAAAAAGTCATTGTTAAGCCAACAGGGTGAGGCTCCCAGCAAAGCCATGCTGTCTTCGTGCCTCCCTGGGCCCAGAGGGTTAGACTGTAAGCTCCTCGAGGCACTGGGTGCACAGTGGGTGCTCACTGAACATGGTGGACTAGTGAGCAGGGGATTTGAGAGAACGACCCTGTAATGAGCTTTGGACACTCTGGCATTTGCCTTAACATCCATGCCCTGGGATCATTTGGATATTTACTCCATGAGGACAAATACTGGGGAAGTGTGGAGAGGAGAGAGGGCAGGTTTCATTTACTTTCCCCCATTTCTGAGAATGAGCACCTGCTGCCACTGCCTTTCTGAGTCTCTGGGAGCAAGTAACCCGCAGCCCAAGCCCATCTAGGACGCCACATCAGGCAGGCACCAGACTGGCTCCTTGTCCCCATAAAAACTCTCAGTACAGCTTTTTTTAAACCTATTCTGTAAGAACTAGCCAACCAGGGGGACCCTTGATTCCTTTCAGCCACGCTTGCCACTTCTGACTTCTGAGAGTCCATCTCTGTTTGCAGTTCTGTGACTTTCGTTGACCTGGCTCCAATCAAGCACAATGCAAGCAGTGGGGGGAGGGGAGTTGTAGATGGGCCAGTGACTCACAGGGTCAGGTGCTCTGGGGAGCCTGAGTCAGGAGGCCAGTGGGCCCTGGAAGGGAGGGGGCAAGCCCAGGTGGGTGAGGTTCTGGGCCTGAGGCAAGAAGGCAGAGTTTCTTAGCAGGGGTGTGCAAGAGCTGCCCAGAAGGTCTCAGCTGGCTCTCCAAGCTGGGCTTGCGAAATAGGAACGCCAGCATCCTCCTCCGCAGGCAGTGGCAGGCACCTCCTCCTACTAGCTCCTCAGGTGCCCCCGAGCCCTGTCTGATGGCCGAAGGTGAGCGCAGAGCGGTGGGCTTTTCCTGTGTGGAGGGAGACTGATTCAAAGGGACATTTATGACCCTTCACCAGTCCCACATCCTGCCCAATGGCCAGGTCTTGGGATGCCTGTTCCAAGATGCTTCTGTGACTCCATGTCTGTCCGATGATTGCCCCAGCTGGGGAAAAGGCTCCCATGTCTCTTCCTCATAAAACTAGTGGGCAAGGCCAGGTGCAGTGGCTCACGCCTGTAATCCCAGCACTTTGGGAGGCCGAAGCGGGTGGATCACCTGAGGTCAGGAGTTCAAAACCAGCCTGGCCAACATGGTGAAACCCTGTCTCTACAAATATACAAAATTAGCTGGGCATCATGGCTGGTGCCTGTAATCCCAGCTACTTGGGAGGCTGAGGTGGGAGAATCACTTGAACCCTGGAGGTGGAGGTTACAGTGAGCCGAGATCACATCATTGTACTCCAGCCTAGGTAACAGAGTGACACTCCATGTTAAAAAAAAAAAAAAAAAGGCTAACCACAGTGGCTCACACCTGTAATCCTAGCACTTTTGGAGGCCAAGGTGGGTAGATCATGAGGTCAAAAGGTCAAGACCATCTTGGCCAACATGGTGAAACCCCGTCTCTACTAAGAATACAAAAATTAGCTGGTTATGGTGGCAGGCGCCTGTAGTCCCAGCTATTTGGGAGGCTGAGGCAGGAGAATCACCTGAACCTGGGAGCCGGAGGTAGCACTGAGCCCAGATCAAGCCACTGTACTCCAGCCTGGGAGACAGAGTGAAACTCTGTCTCAAAAACAAAATTAAATAAAATAGCCGGTTAAATGATTCAGTGACCCGAGGACAGTCAGCACGAAGCTGCCTGGGAAACTGTCTGTGCTAAAATGGAGATTTCCCAGGAAAGTCGGGCTTGGGCACCAGGTGATTAGGAGAGGTCAAATCTCATTTCCACAAGATTGAGGGTAAACAGTGGGCTGCCAAGGAGAATTCCTTTTATAAACATTGACAAATTGCTCTGCCCCACCTGTGATCCCAGACTCCTGAAGGTGAGTGTCCCGTGGGTTCATTGTGGATGGGAGCTGCATGAACAGCCTGCGGGAATGTCTGGAAGAACCAGCTTCACAACAGATATCATAAGGAAGAAGTTTGAAATATTTCAAGAATTGCGAAAGTGTGACACACAGATGCAAAGTGGCCACATGCTTGTGGAAAAATGGTGCCAACACATGCTTGACTCTGGGGTTACCACAAACCTTCAATTTGTGAAAAAATGCAATCTGAAGTGCAATAAAGTGGACCGCAATTAAATGCGCTGTGCCTGTATTTGTTTTGAGACAGGGTCTTGCTCTGTCCCCCAGGCTGGAGTGCAGTGGTGCAATCATGGCTCACTACAGCCTTGAATTCCTGGCTCAAGTGATCCTCCTACCTCAGACTCCTGAGTAGCTGGGACTACAGGCACACGAGGCCACGCCCGGCTAATTTTTTGAGTTTTTGTAGAGATGAGGTCTTGCTACGTTGCCCATGCTGGTCTTGAACTCCTGGGCTCAAGCGATCCTTCTCCACTTTAGCCTCCTAAAGTGCTGGAATTACAGGTATGAGCCACCTTGCCTAGCCTGCCTGTACTTTAAAAAAACATTCCAGCTTGCCAAAGTCATTGTAGAGAGGAGCTAACCCAGCCGATGATGCAGTTTCTGCTGGCTTTACTTGTGTGAGCCCCCTTCGAGTGTGGATGGTTCTCTTGGGGGCTGAGTGTGAGTGCCTGTGTGTGTGTAGGTGTGCATGTACATGTGTTTGTGTGTGTGTGTCCCTGTGCAACCGAGTGGCTGCGGCTGCCCTTCAGAGAGCTGCCTGGGCATGCAGTGTCAGGGAGAAGGCAGCCACCCACTGAGGGTTCCCACTGAATAACTAGTTTCACTTGGGGCATTCAAAGGCTCTGATGAAGCCCAGGGCACTTAAAGCACCTGTAAGACTCAATAATGGTTTCAGGAGCGTGAGAACAGGTCTAGAGAACACGCCCCACACACATGATGGCTTGTTACCGGAGGGGCAGCAGGGAGCAGGGGCCAGATAGCTGCTCCAGGACCAGCTGCAGGAATGAGAGGTTCCCTGACCTGGGGGTGAGGCCTTAAGGAAGATGATTCCAAGCTGACTATGTGCCCACCACTGGTTCTGTCGTGGAGGGGGAACCAGAGAGCTTCGAATCTTGGTGTTTGTTACTTAGGATTTTTCACCAACTTCAGGCAGCACAGGACAATCTTTTTTTTTTTTTTTTTTTTGAGACGGAGTCTTGCTCTGTTGCCCAGGCTGGAGTGCAGTGGCGCGATCTTGGCTCACTGCAACCTCTGCCTCCTGGGTTCAAGCAATTCTTCTGCCTCAGCCTCATGAGTAGTTGGGATTACAGATGTGCGCCACCATGCCCGGCTAATTTGTACTTTTAGTAGAGATAGGGTTTCACCATGTCTGTCAGTCTGGTATTGAACTCCTGACCTTGTGATCTGCCCACCTCAGGCTCCCAAAGTGCTGGGATTTACAGGCGTGAGCCACTGCACCGAGCCTGGCGCAGGACAATCTTAAAGAAGAATGAACCTTTGCAGATCTCAAAAATCAGAGGCAGGCCAGGCACGGTGGCTCATGCCTGTAATCACAGAACTTTGGGAGGCCAAGACAGGTGGGCCACTTGAGGTCAGGAGTTTGAGACCAGCATGGTCAACATGGTGAAATCCCATCTCCACTAAAAACACAAGAATTAGCTGTGTGTGTGTAACTAGTTTCACTTTGAAAACCCCAGGTGTAAATAAAACCCACCGGGTAGGGCGTGGTGGTTCACACCTGTAATCCCAGCACTTTCAGAGGCTGAGACAGGCGGATCATTTGAGGCCAGGAGTTTGAGGCTAGCCTGGTCAACATGGCAAAATCCCAGCTGTACCAAAAATACAAAAATTAGCTGGACATGGTGGTGGCTATGTGGGAGGCTGAGGCAGGAGAATCGCTTGAACCCAGAGGCGGAGGTTACAGTGAGCCAAGATCATGCCACTACACTCCAGCCTGGGCAACAGAGTAAGACTCTGTCTCTCTCTCTCTCTCTCTCACACACACACACACACACACACACACACACACACACAATCAGAGGCAGATCCAGGTTTTGTAGGAACTAAATTTTGAGGTCCTCTGTAGGAGAACTAATCTAAAATGATGAATATAGACTTCTAAGTATGAAAATGAGTATTCAGAATGAAAAATAAGTCATATCAACTAGTGGTGCTTGGAGATTCACGTCTCATCCTTTTGGTTTCTCTTTTGAGAGGATGCTTCCTGCTGGCAACCTGGCTTCCCCTCCACTCTCAGAGCCATCTGCTACTCTCCACCCAGGCTCCTGGGCAGCCCCCAGCATACGCCTCAGCAGCTCCAGGGTAAATCCACCTCTGGCCCGAACTGGCTCCTGGCTCCGGATCTGCCCCAGTGACAATAACAAGGTAAATGCCTTCCATTTTCTTCATGCTTACAGGAGGTAATCCACATATTTCCACAAATGTTTCATCATTCGTGGTAATGTTTGTTTTGTTTCTTGTTCTTTTGTACCTATTTGGGAAGCCTGTGAAATTCAGATTTCCAAGCTCACTTCCAGAGGGTTCTCATTCCCTGTGTTTGAGTCAATGGCTGCAGACCATACACCGGAGGCCAAGTTAATCTGCATTAACAAAGATACCCCATCTGCGGATCTGGTTGGCAGGGGCTGGGGGGTGTGGAGAATGGGGAGTTGGTGCTTAATAGGTACAGAGATTCAGTTTTGCAAGAGGAAAAGAGTTCTGGAGATGGATGGCGCTGATGGTTGTACAACAATGTGAATGTGGGTAACGCTTAAAAATGGTTAAGATGGGCCACGTACAGCTGCCTGTAATCCCAGCACTTTGGGAGGCCTAGACTTGAGGATTGCTTGAGCCCGGGAGTTTGAGACCAGCCTGGGCAACATAGGGAAACCTCATCTTCACTAAAACTCAAAAAAATTATCCAGGCATGGTGGTGTATGCCTACAGTCCCAGCTACTGAGGAGGCTGAGGTGGGAGTTTTGCTTGAGCCCAGTAAATTGAGGCTACAGTGAGCCATGATGACACCCACTGCCCTCCGGCCTGGATAACAGAGCAAGACCATGTCTCAAAAAAAAAAAGGTTAAGATGGTTAATTTTTATTATTTATTTATTTATTGAGATGGAGTTTCGCTCTTGTTGCCCAGGAGTACGATGGTACAATCTCCGCTCACTGCAACCTCTGCTTCCTGGGTTCAAGAGATTCTCCTGCCTCGGCCTCCCGAGTAGCTGGGATTACAGGCATCCGTCACCATGCCCAACTAATTTTTGTAATTTTAGTAGAGACAGGGTGCCAAACTTGGTGGCTCACACCTGTAATCCCAGCACTTTGGGAGTCCGAGGTGGGTGGATCACCTAAGGTCGGGAGTTCAACACCAGGCTGACCAACATGGAGAAACCCCAACTCTATGAAAAATACAAAATTAGCCGGGTGTGGTAGCTGGTGCATGCCTATAATCCAAGCTACTTGGGAGGCTGAGGCAGGAGAAT